AGAGTTGTTTTAATGACACGTGCAGGTGATAACCCGGGCGATAAATACGCCGATATAACTTAGGCCGTTCTCGTGAAAACTGGTTGCTTGGCATGTCGTAATAGGTTAAGATATTATAACATTTGACAATAGATAATAGACATTTTTTTGTTTTTAAATTCAACTTCAGCGACTGTATAAATTACAAGCTTTCACCCGCGACTCCGTCCGCGTGGAATTAAAAAATCAAAAGTGAGTACCCAATGTATTCTTCCAGACTATCCTCTATATCTATACAAAATTTCATCGAAATCCGTTTAGACTACTAACATCTACTCATCGAAACTTTCGCATTTATAATATTAGTATGATAACGAAACGTGGCCTTTTACAGTGTTTTCTGGTTTTAATCATAAGGCAGCGCATAAAAGCAAAAGCTACAACAGCAAAGAATTTCTCCATAAACTTCGATGAATATCAATTTAATCTATCCATTCCAGTTAAAGACTACTAAATAACATTAGGTGTAGACATTTTTATAACCGTTTAAAAGGAAATTAATAAAGCTTAGCCTACGATGTGTGTGTGACATTGCAAACAAATAGATATCGTGAAATCGTCCTAAATAGGAGATGTCTTAAAAGGCGTGTACTCTACATGTTACAACAAAGTACTACGGGACATCGTATGCATCATGCGACAAGAACTTACAGATTTTTATATTTCTAACCAAAGCCAGACAATGATATATATTTTCATTTAAGAACGTAATATTTATAAATATTTGGATAACCCGAGATAAAGCCATTGTACAGATTTTCCGTTAGACAGACAAGACAGACAGTAATTTATTAATTTATATTATTTTAATATTTAAATCACGATATATTTTATTCAACCGTGGATATGTACCTTGTAGAAAAAAAACTTGGCCTTGTAATGAAAAAAAGCAAACCGCGCAGTTGCTAAAGGCATTGCGCATGTTGCAGTTAAAATTTGATCAGGGATTTTCAGACTGTTTAAAAATAAAAAAATTGGGTCCGATTAATTTAATCAAACTAAATTAAATAAGATTTAAACCTGAATTAAGATAGTTTCATCATTTCGTTTAAGTTGTAAATCTTTCTTTAGTTGACTATAATTTAAAAATGAATAAAACAGACGACTGACTTTTACACCATCCAAACAAACATACCAACGGAAAAAAATGTAAAGACAAAAACTTTTGGGCAATTAAGATAGAAGTTTACTAGTTCTAATAAGAAAAGAAAACAATCGCAACAATAACAGTTAATGAAGCTTCCAATAAACAAAATTTAATTATAGAGCTACATTAAAACAGACCAGACACTACTTTCGTATCCAATTCAAAAAGAAAAACAAACACCATTCTCTTGATAGTATATGACAATGACCCAAGTAAAAGCCAACCCACATTAGCTATACAAATGATTATAATAAAGTATAACAGAATAAAAGTGGAACAATCTCATCTCTCGCCAATGTAAACTTTCAATCCAAGTAACGACAGCACATAAGACGGTCTATGGACTAATAATCAACATCTTTTATTTTATAGCACGTTTTATTCTGTCTAATCTATCCACGTCATATAAGATTACTGCCATAATTATCTATAACGTTATATCACCACATGAATTGAGCAATTATTTCTGATAGAAAGTAACATATCGATATGATTCATTAACATTGTAATTACTGTCTTATAAAAATAAAAAAAAATCATACAAATAAACCGGTTTAACTTATGAGCTAGCTGTGGACCGCGACTCTTTTCGTACGTAATTAAAAAAGCGAAATTATTAGTCTGTGTTCTTTCAATCTATGTACTATATCTGTGACAAATCTCTTTGAGATACGATGAGCATATCACGAGACAATGTTGGGTCACTTAATGTCCATTTACACGGCCTTAATGGATGAATGGATGTTTGAGTTTGTAGCCTAAATTGCTGAACTGATCTCGATGAAATTTGAAATAGACATAGAGAGTAGTCTGAAAGAACACATAGGCTACTCGCTTTTTTGTTTTTATTTATTTCCACGCGGTTGGAGTCGCGGGCGGAACCTAGTTGTCCTATAAATGAAGAATGAGATTCATCAACATAGTTTAATCAATGATTTATCACATATGACCTATATGGACACATTAAAATGCCATCTAAACATATTTACTAATATTTTACTAATAAAATAAAATTGCGTAAGCCTAATGTAATTTTAAGCACAATCTTGTCGGACATTGTGTGGAAGTAAAACACATTGTCGAATACGAATGAAGAGAACTAATGATAAACCCTGACCTTTTCATTGATTTCCGCGCCTACAAGTTTAATTCACATTTGTTGGAAAGTCAACCGAGTAGTTATAATCATAAAAATGATGTGAAAATAATAAAAAAAACAGCCACTAGTTTTTCACAAATAAAAAATTAATCATTGTTTCAGTTCATAAAAAGTTACGTTTTAGAAAAAAAAGTTTAAGATCACAACACAGCAAACCTCTATCATAAACTTATATCTACGAGTAAGAGAAGACTTATTTTTTGTGTTTGTCTTATAAAAATAATTATGTATATCACAAAATTTAATTTCTACGTTTCCAATTCTTTTACTTGGCAGTTTTTTAGTTTTTTTTTCAATTACAATACGTTCAGAGAAAAAAAAATTTCATGCAGTATAATTATGGAGTTATTAGAATGCGTTATTGTACGGAAAGCATTATTTCCTTGTTTTGTATTAGTTTGCATATGCACGAATACATGCAATTGCGTGCATTATAAAGAACCCAACGGATGTTAAATAAAAATAGCGTAAAAAGTTATGGTTTCGGTTTTATTTTTCACAGGCAAAGTTAAATAGATAACATATTGTTTAAAGATTGCAGCTACCTTATAAAATCGCTAGTTATCTTAAGATATCAAATAGGTAAGAAGATAAATAGTTAAATAGTCCATAGTTGTGTCATAATCACCTAAAATGACGCATTACATTTTGATATTAAATAAGTTTTAGGCTGAAATATGAAGTATATTAAAACATATAAGCATTCTTTTCAAATATAAATGATAAAACGAAGAGTGCGCCCTCGTTTATCTCTACTACCCGATAAGTACCACCTGGATAGTTCACTGACACAAAACATCAATCCAAGATAAAACATATAAAGATAATTGCGTCGTCATTTGTCACAACAGTTAAAGATTTTACATTTTAACTAAATTAATGTTCAGATCACATAATAGTATTAGATAAGATCGAGGTCAAACATTTCTGTATCTATCTTCATTTCGTATGGCTGAAAAACGTACGTCTACCGACCAACCTTAATTCGAAAATGTGTTTTTAATGACGTAATTAATTTATAGTTGTCACAAACCATCAAATACTTATCAAGTGAACTATTTAAATTCTTAGAATAATAAAAGAAATATAAAAAAATCGAGATATAGTTGAAAATTAGTGAACATAACTTATTGACATTGGTGACCCTGATAAAAAAAATAAAAAGCAATTAACTCACAAGCCTAGGTGCGACTGCGCCGCGTTCGTTCTCC